GATGGGCCCCCAGTAATGAAGCCGTCTGCAGCGCTGAGAGCTGCTTGGCCGTGGCACATAGTTCAGAATTACTGCAACTGCCTGGGTGTCAGGAGCCATCAATTGTGCCAGACTCACCTGCTGGGCTCAGAGCCATAGGCCGTGGGGGCTTAGACATCATCATTCTTCCAGATGAGACCCCCCCCCCCCCCCCACTTACCTCTTCATCGTCGGCATCTCTCCCCTTACCCCAAACACTCCCATCGATCAAGTCCCGTTATTTCTCCCGGTACAGAGTCACGGAACAGAGAGTAGCGTCATCATTCTTCCTCACAGTTCATATCCACTGAGGAATTATTTCCTTCCCTCTCTCATGAGTTACTGTCGGACAGCCCAGAGCTTTGCCTTCTGTGCGGCCTGCATACAGAGTGAGGGGTAAAAAAGGCCCAGGGAGCTCTGTTCTGCGCTAAGCAGTTCTCGTCTTCATTTCCGCCATTTTGTCCAAAGGTCCTTCCGGTCCATTCACATCCACAGAGCACTCTCCAACTAAGCCATGGAGCGTATGTGGAAAGAGAGCCTTTTCCTCGCATTTGAGACCATCTTAAAGCTCATCTGAACGCCATCACCTATGCATTTCAAGGATCCCACATTCTGCTGGCCATCGTTTTCTCAGTTTAAACCTTTCCAGTGAAGTGAGGTAAAGACTGTCCCAAAGGTCTCACTTCATCGATGGAAATGCCTAATTGTATAGGATTGGCCTAGTCCCCATTCCTTCTCAATTCTCACAAAAGTGTAGTTTCCACAAGTATTTTCTCCTAAGTTCTCGAGCATTATCCTTTTAAAATATTACATGTGAAACTTTACCGAGTATTTCAGGCATGATTTCACCAGTGAGGCATATAGTTGGACCCTAGCCTTAGGAAATCTCTACCGTTTATTTCTACAAATAGTACTCCAAATTCCATTAAATATATAATATATTATATTCTATTAAAAGCTGGGTTTCCCCTGTGTCACAGCAGTAAAAAATCCTGCAGGAGCTGCAGGAGACAGGCGCTCCATCCTTGGGTTGGGAAGATCCCCTGGAGGAGGAAATGGCAACCCACTCCAATATTCTTGCCTGGAGAATCCCATGGACAGAGAAGCCTGGAGGGCTATGGTCCATAGGGTCACAAAGAGTCGGACACGACTGAAGCGGCTGAGCACACACATAACATAGTAAAAGCTGCATCATACTTTGGTCTATATAAACTTATCAACTAATATGCTGGCAAGATCTTTAATAAATACTTTATTTTAAAAGGCATATATCGTCCTAGTTTGTAACTCAGTGTTTGTTTGTTTTTAAACTTAACTGTAGTATTTTATATTTACTCCCAATTAAATTATATTTGGTTCACTGTTTCAATGATTCCTCTCTCTTTGGATTCTTACTTTCATCCAGTACATTATTAATAACTTTCCCTTCTAGCTTCCTATCAGTCCAAAATGTAACCAGTGAGTTATAATCTAGTTCCAGTGATTAATAGGAAACTAGAGCTCTGAATCTAGAAACACTTCACAGAGAGAGAGTTCAAAGCCCACACTAATACATTAGCCAACATTCTTTGAAGTATATAATATTTTAGTACTTATGAACCTGGGTTAATTCCACACACTTAATCATCTTCAATTCAACCCATTACATGCTTGCTTAGTCTCTGTGTACCAGTAAGTACAAATATAGTAAAATCTATTCCCTGCCCTCGAGAAGCTCACAATCAAATAAGGAAACGATCATGCAATCAATGAAGCAGTTCCCTATGATGGGTCATATGCTACAAGTGGAATTGAATTCCAAGAGGAGCTCAAGAAGAATCACTGGACTCTACCTGGGGTTGTAGTGGTTGTTCAGTTGCTAAGTCATGTCCGACTCTTTGAGACCACATGGACTGCAGCACGCCAAGCTTCCATGTCCTCCACTATCTCACAGAGTTTGTTCAAATTCATGTCCATTAAGTCAGTGATGTTATTCAATCATCTCATCATCTGCTATCCCCTTCTCCCTTAATCCTCAATCTTTCCCAGCATCAGGGTCTTTTCCAATGAGTCAGCTCTTTATCAAGTGGCCAAAGTAACAGAACTTCAACATCAGTCCTTCCAATAAAAACTCATGGTTGATATTCTTTCAGTTCAGTTCAGTTGCTCAGTTGTGTTCAGCTTTTTGTGACCCCATGGAATGAAGCACGCCAGGCTTCCCTGTCTATCACAAACTCCCAGAGCTTGCTCAAATGCATGTCCATCAAGTCAGTGATGCCATCCATCTTATCCTCTGTCGTCCCCTTTTCCTCCTGCCTTCCATCATTCCCAGCATCAGAGTCTTCTTCAATGAGTCAGTTCTTCACATCAGGTGGCCAAAGTATTGGAGTTTCAGCTTCAACATCAGTCCTTCCAATGAATATTCAGGACTTATTTCCTTTAGGATTGATTCATTTGATCTCCTTACAGTCCAACAGTCTTGAACACCAAAATTCGAAAGCATCAATTCTTCAGTGTTCATCCTTCTTTATCATTCAGCTCTCACATTCATACATGACTACTGGGAAAACTGTAGCTTTGACTACATGCATCTCTGTTGGCAAAGTGATGTCTCTGCTTTTTAATATGCTATGGAGTTGTTGAGGAAACCTCAAAAGAAGAATGTAAGATTATCCCTTCCCCTGGTCCTCATTTTTTTGAGTTATGTCTCCAGAATATGAAAAGGCAACGACTTTCACTGTAGTCTAACAGCAAGGGTGGTAAAGGAAGGGAAAGATAGATTCTGCTAGGTCTATCCAAGCACAGGTCCATCCCACATAATTACCTCCCCTCGAGGCTACGCTCTCCATCCTCCAGCTCTAGGCTTATAACTGTCATAGGCATTAAAGAGGAAGTTGTCCACAGAGGGTGAGGCAGACAGGGAGCAGACAGCCAGCATTCACGCCAGGCTATCGCTGGACAGCACTGCGGTCAGAAAGGGCGGTGATGCAAGACAACGAGGAGGCCAAGCAGCAACGCCATGTGCCAGCCGCTCATTAGGTCTACCCCTCTCATCTCAGGCCTCAACCTTTCATTATCTGGTCTCCACCAGGAAAGGCTTTATTTTTATACATCAAAGTATCCTTCCACATCTTTTTTCTAGCCCAGAGTTTTTTCTGTTTCCCTGAAGACTTAGATTTTTGAAATCCAAAGCCAACAACAGACTATTTTTTCCACAGCTTTTTCAGATGTGTCTTCACTTATCCAGTGAATGTTTTCAGACAACCTAATTGACTCAAGGAGGGCCAAGTTTGGAAAGGACTTTTTTTTAAATGTTGCTTAATATTCCAAACATATTATCCTGCCTCATACAAGTAGGCAATTATCAGCAGATGATGAGAGGATGAGCTTCCAAACAGAGAGTACCGCAGGTGTAAAATGCATGAGAAAGCACAATTTATGGGCAAATTTTCCAATATTTTACTAAAAATATGGTTGTTTTCCATCAGGTACATCCCTATAATAAAAAAATTCAGTGAATAAAACAAACAAGGGAAATAAAATAAGTTTAGCCAGATTTCATCATTTGGAACTCATTATTTCCAATGATCTCATCTTCCTTTCCAAACCACTCACAATCCATCTCTAAATATTTTGATACTGAATTCACCAAGAATTGATGTTACATTCATTGATATGTTCTTTTCAGATTTCATCTTATTCCCTTTTGTGAAAACTGGTGATTTTCCCATTTCAGTCATCTAATATCTTTTTTAATTTCTGGCAATTCTATTTTTCTAAAAATGGAAATTTTAATACATTTGTTAAGTACTTATTATGTTGCAGGCACTGTCTTAGATATTTGCTGCTGCTGCTGCTGCTGCTGCTAACTTCATTCGTGTCCGACTCTGTGTGACCCCATAGATGGCAGCCCACCAGTCCGCCATTCCTGGGATTCTCCAGGCAAGAACACTGGAGTGGGTCGCCATTGCCTTCTTCAATGCATGAAAGTGGAAAGTGAAAGTGAAGTCGCTCAGTCGTGTCCAACTCTTAGCGACCCTGTGGACTGCAGCCTACCAGGCTCCTCCATCCATGGGATTTGCCAGGCAAGAGTACTAGAGTAGGGTGCCATTGCCTTCTCCGTCTTAGATATTTACAACTATTCAAATTCAAGTTGGGCCACACCTTCCTGCCCTTTCCTACATGAAGGTCATTTCTTTCAGGGAGACAATGGAAGCAAAATAGACATAGAATCATCGTCCCTCCTTTCATCAGCTAACTATATACCATCTGCCCAAGCAGTAAGCCCATCACCTCCCAGTTCTTCTTTAAATATGAATAAATGAAACTCTGCATTTTTTGTAGTACACATTCACTAAGCTGCACTGATACTTCATAGCTTTGTCAGTATTATCCTTGAAAGTTTATTCCACTCTTTTATATCCATTCCACAAAGGGCCAACTGCTTATTTATTGAAAAAGATTCACATATAAGCGGACTTGTACAGTTCAAACCTGTATTGTTCAAGGGTCAGTTGTACATACTCTTTTTGTAACAAATTAAGTTCAGGTTCAGAGATAGCCATAAAGTCATACCACCACTACTTTCTTTTTCAAAGGAATATGTGACCTCACTGCCAGGCTTTTCTATTTTCTAAACTCTCCGGTTGCTCTTAATCATCTTTTATATCAACTATTTGAAATAGATCCCTCCTAGAGTCTAAAGTAAACACCTGACTATGATCAACATTCACTTGCATCACTATGATGAATACTATTGCGAAGTTATTTCTAAGATGCCCTTCACTTCTACTTGAGTTCTCCTGGCCAGAAATGAATCTAAACTTAGAAATTGTCCTTCATTGTTTTCTTTACCTTCCCAGAGATGAAATCCTCAGCAAGTCAAGAGTTCGATGGAAACTGGGGAAGTTATTCTAATATCAAATATATTTTTAAAAAACCATAAAGAGAGTGCCCGCCGCGCCGTTCCCCGCTTGCATCCGCGCGCCTCGCTCCTCTCCGACATGGCAAAAGTATCCAGCCCTACGGAGACTGAACGATGCATCGAGTCTCTGATTGCTGTTTTCCAAAAGCATGCTGGAAGGGATGGTAACAACAGCAAACTCTCCAAGGCCGAGTTCCTAATCTTCATGAATACAGAGCTGGGTGCCTTCACAAAGAACCAGAAGGACCCTGGTGTCCTTGACCACATGATGAAGAGATTGGACCTCAACTCTGATGGGCAGCTAGATTTCCAAGAATTTCTTAATCTTATTGGTGGCCTGGCCATTGCTTGCCATGAATCCTTTATTAAGTCCGCCTCTGGCCCGAAGTAAACTGGAGGAACCTGTGGGCCTGGCCTCCAGACCCACTCCCTTTCTTTCCAGCCTCTCAGTTATCTGCTCTTCACAGCCCCCACATACCCTGAGCCCAGCACACCCACCTACCCAGGCATGCCACTCCTGTTAGTAATAAAACAATATTGTTTTTTAAAACACACACACAAAAAAAAAAAAAACCATAAAGAGATCTATGAAAAATGTTAAATTCCTTATGACCTAAAAGAATGCTTCCAAAATCACGTAAGGCTCAAATGTGGAAAAAATTATTACATCAAAAATACTAGTATGTTCTACAATAATGGGAATATAGAACATATTCTTTAATGACTGTGTGACCTACAACAAACTAGTTAACCTCTCTAGAACTCATATGCTTCATCTGCGAAATAGGGATTTTCATTATTTCTGAAACTTAAGAGTGCTAGTATAAAAATCTTATAACATCACATGAAAACACTTTGAAGACTAAATCCCATACTAATATAAGACATTGTCAAAAAAAAAAAAAAGACATTGTCACCTACTGTGGAGCACAGGGAACTCTACTCAGTACCCTGTAATGAATGAATGACAGTACCCTGTAATTCAGCTCTACTAGAAGAGCTGAATCCAGCCAAGGTCTTTAGTTTTCTGTCCATATTTAACATGGAAACAGAATCTATAAAAGAGTGCATACATGGACATGTATAATGAACTCGCTTTGCTAAAAAGCAGAAACTAACACACCATTGTAAATAACTATAGTCCAATAAAAATTAATCTAAAATATACATCGTCATATTGTCTCTCTACTTCATCTCTTATCTTCCTTGATATCAACTTCCTGAGTCTTTGTCTGTCTTCTTTTTTAAGCCAATAAACGTGCTAATAAATATTAATACGTTCTTCTGAGTCTTTATAGGTGATTGTTTTCCCCCAAAGAGATCATCATTATTATATAAAATCACAATCTAAAAAAACAAATCCTATTCTTCAATATGATCTGTGTCACCAGGAGTCATGGACAGAATGTTTGTGTTCCTCTGAAATACATACGGTGAAACCCTACTTCCCAATGTGATAATTGTGGGAGGTGGGGCCATGGGAGTTAATAAGCACTAGATGAAGTCCTGAGAATAGAGTCCTCATGAATAGGATTAATGTCCTTAAAAGAGTCACAGGAAAAATGGATTCATCTCTCTGATCTCCATCATGGGAGAATACAGCAAGAAGTTGGCAGTCTGCATCGTGGAAGAGGGTCTTCATGGGAACCTGACCATGCTGGCACCCTGATATCAGACTTTTATCCCCCAGAACTGTGAGAAATAAAAACTAGCAGGTATTTTGTCATAACAGCCCAAATGAACTAAGACCAGTATCCTTCCTTCTCTCCTCAAATTGTAACTTTCTACTAGAAGAGCTGAATCCAGCCAAGGTCTTTAGTTTTCTGTCCATATCTAACCCTTGAACAACACAGGGGTTAGGAGTACCGACCCCCATGCAGTTGAGAATCTGCACATAACTTCACAGTCAGATCTGTGGATCCACGGTTTCACCATTGGCAGATTCAACCAACAGCAGGTCATGCAGCTCTATAGTATATATTTGTCCAAAAAAAAAAAAAAATCCATACATAAATGGACCCACACAGTTCAAAACTTGTGTTGTTTAAGAGTCAACTGTATGGCTACACCAGTGTCTTCTGCCACTAGAAGTGACAGAAGTGTTACTAGCAACAGTATACCTCCCACCCCATGGATCAGGACCAAAAGGCTGTGAGCTTGATGTGCTTGACTATTCTTTGCTCCTCTGAACTCAGTAGTTATATCCAGCCTCTTTCTATCCAGCCTCTTTCTCTTTTTCTTTCTCTCTTCCTCCCTCCTTGCATAACATAATCCTTGTCTAGACTTCTATACTATAATGTATAACCCATAATACATAGTACTTGGTATGTGATAAACCCATCTGAGTGGAAGTACTAACACCTCAATCTGCTCATCGACCCAGAAGATATGAAGAGAGTAAAAAAGAGATAACTTAATGTAGAAGCAGCATCCCCTTCAAAAACTGGTCTACCTTCCTTATCTAGGTCAGCTCTTCCTGCTACTCTACATTATAAATACTATGGAAATGCCCTAAAGTGCCATGATCTCTCACACCTCTGGGCCTTTACCCAACCCATTTCTTCCCTGAATATCTTCATCTACATTTTACCCAGAAAAATCTAACTCACCTTTTAAGGTCAGGATCAACTGCTATTTCCTCTATAACTAAACTCTCTTCTCTGCTTCCACTCGTCTTTATAAATACATTTCTTGTAGGATTTATCATATAATGTTACACAGACTTAAATTATTCATTTCAGACCTGTGGAGTCAATAGTTATAGTCATATTGGCAAACAGACAAAATCAAGGACAGTTCTGTCTGACTACTCCACTTAAAAACCTTATAGACAAAGGCATTGAAAAAGTGGCCAAATCTTTACACAAGACATCTGGGAATTTAGCATCATTCACAGAAACTCTAAACCCCTCTCCCATGAAGAGAAAAGAAGAAGAGAGACTTTTTCAGCTGTTGGACATGCTCAAGTATGAAGATAAGGTCTTATTCATTTTGCACACTCAGCAATGGGGCTTTGCATACACAAGGTGTTCAATAAATGTGGGTTGGATGAACTTTTGGAGATAAAGTTAAGGATCATGATGCTCCTATGAACTGTGCTTTCACATTTTTCCCAAATAAACAAACATGGAGAAGATCAACTGCTGAAATGCCTTGTTTAATAACAAAATACTTGGCTTAACTTTTATGAGATAGAATGTCATTTAGAAATCATAGACCAATTAGTACTCACTGAGAGGCGAACTTTCTAGGCCCACTTTGGTAGAGATAAGACTCCTGAGCTCTCAAAAGAAATGCAGTCATTGTTCTCATAACATTTTGAATAGAATTTGATCTATGAAAGCTGAACCAAAACAGCTGGCTTTGGAGTGAGTGGATATGTGTAATTCCCAGCAATGTCATTATATTGTCCCTTAAAGTAGATGACCAAGACAGTCTGAGTTATTATGCAGGCAACAGGAAACAGTGAAATTGACAGATTTCTTTATATTCGGTGAAAATAATAATGATGATGATCATGTCCTGAATTTCATCTCACAAAACAGCAAATGGATTTCTAGGGTCTTCTCTAACGAATTAGAGGTTAAAGCAGAAAAACGAAATATGATGCTATCTGGATGACTGTCAGAGAAACATTGCTTAGGACAAAAGCATCAGTAAAGAGAACAGTTTCCAAGACTTGTGTTTTCCTTGCAGGCTGATCCTGCTTTCTGGTCTCAGGAAATCTTTTGAGTTTTGTTTATGATAATTCAAGCTTTACTATCCTCTGCCTTTAGGTTAGTCCATGACCATTCTCTTCCCCGAGGCTTCCCTGGTGGCTCAGATGGTAAAGAATCTGCCTCAATGCAGAAGACCAGGGCTCGATCCCTGGGACAGGAAGATCCCCTGGAAAAGGGAATGGTAACCCATCCAATATTCTTGCCTGAAGAATTCCACGGACAGAGGAGCCTGGTGCACTACAGTCCACGGGGTTGGAAAGAGCTGGCCACAACTGAGCAACTAACACACATTCTCTGCCTCACCTTCACTTGGGAGACAGAGCGGAAGCAAATCAACTCTGCGCCTGGACTTGGGGAATGTCTCTGCTCAAAAGGAAGCAACAAGTTCAGTTGGGTACTTTACTTCCCCTTTGGAACATGTGGTTTCTATGCCCTTAACTATGACTTGAATAAAACTATGTACTAAGATTTTTTTCATTGTCTTTTCAAGAAGGATACTATGGAGCTAGCACTGACTGCCTTTTTTCTCCAAACATTAGTTGTCTTTTCTACAACCTACCTTTATTTAAAACTTTCTCCCAAGAGCTGTGAAAAAAAGACCTGAATTAGCTGTCAGGAATCCTCAGTTCTACCCATTGCTACTAACTAGCTAGTAAACCACTTATTATTTTAATAGTACTTTCAAGTTCCATAAAGTCACCATTAGTTTGGTCCTTCCAATAGCCTTGAGGGTAGATATGATTGCCACCTAGAAAATGAAGAAATATCAGGTATGAGAAGTAATGTAGGTGGGAATGATTTACACTTCTGAGGATGTATGTAACTGGGGTGAGCAACAGTCATTGTTCCCCAGGCAGAGCAGAGGTTTGCACTAGCCTTGTGTCTCTTCTTTCCTTGCTCTCCAAGGTAACGTTATCACTTTAATATACTTCAGTTATTTTATATTACACTCCAAATTTTATAATGTCTGAGATAGGTGGTCTAATCTAAATTTATATTGTTATCCCTGCATTTGTTATGTAGGCCTATCTATTTATGCTAGAGTGTTAGTCACTCAGTCACGTCTGACTCTTCATGAACACCAGGCTCCTCTGTCCACAGAATTCTCCAGGCAAGAATACTGGAGTGGGTTGCCATTCCCTTCTCCAGGGGATCTTTCCAACCCAGAGATCGAACCCAGGTCTCCTGAATTATAGGCGGATTCTTTACCATCTGAGCCACCAGGGAAGCCCCATGCTAGGTGTTGAGGAAATACTTTTTTTAAATATTATTCTATTATTTGGCTGCACCTATCCTTAGCTGTGACACTCAGGATGTTTAATCTTTGTTGTGGCATGGGGGATCTTTCCGATGTAGCATGTGAACTCTTAGTTTTGGCATGTGGGAACTAGTTCCCCAACCTGAATCCCTTGCATTGGCAACGAGGAGTCTTAGCCACTGGAGCACCAGCAAAGTCCTGAAATCAGTTCAGCTCAGTTCAGTCGCTCAGTAGTGCCCAACTCTTTGTGACTCCATGGAATGCAGCACGCCAAGCTTCCTCGACCATCACCAACTCCTGAACTTTACTCAAACTCATGTCCATCGAGTCGGTGATGCCATCCAACCTGTCATCCCCTTCTCCTCCCGCCTTCAATCATTCCCAGCATCAGGGTCTTTTCAAAGGAGTCAGCTC